CTGAAGCCCCAGCTCACGGCGCTCCACCCGCCTCAACCTGGAGACGTGGAAAGCAGATCCCAGTTCGGGAGAAGGGAACCGAACGAGCCAGGCTGAGCCCGTCGCACCCCGCTCCCCCTCCCCCGGGCCCGCACGCCCACCCTGAGCAGCTCCCGTGGGCAGAGGCAGCGGGGGTGAGCAGCTCTGGACGGGCAGCATCGCATCCCATCTGCAGGAAATCCCACCTGCACCGTGGTACCCAGCGGCACGAACTGCCTCCCCCTGCCCAGGCTGCCCCCGAGGGCAGGATTTTCACATGGCAGCTGAGCATCCTCCCACTGACTGCTGTGGCTCCATCAGTCCATTAGCTCCAGCTGACAAATCGGACCCATTCTACTTTATACGTCAATGTTACATTAATACCAAGTTTTTGCAAGAGCTCAGTAAAGTCTAGACTGGATCATGAAGTGGTTTATTCCAGAGCTGTGTGCCTCTTTTGCCTCTTTCTGTCTCTGACTTCTGGCAAGGCTGGCAGGGAACCCTGCAGTGAATCAGAGCCTCACCCAAGCCTGTGGCAGGGTCTGCAAACAGTGGAGGGACAGGAGGGGATGAAGAAACCAGCAGGGAGGAAGGCCAGGGGCTGGAGAGGGGACTGGGAGGGAAAGGGCATCCCCATGCTGGGATACTCAGGTGACAGAGAGCCTGCACAGCCAGGGGGGACACCGGCCTTGCAAACAGCAGCACCAGGGCAGCTGGCCCTGTCCCACCTCCAGGTGGGGTAAAAACAGCCCCTGCCCCACGGGAGAGGAGGAGGAAGGAATCTGGCCCTGGAGCAGCACACGGGGCTGGTTTCTCCCTTGAAAATAAAAATGGGAGCAAGCCACCACTGAGGTGACACTTGGTTTATTTCTGTGTGATTTACTGATGCTCTGACTCCTGCCACGTCCCTGGCAGGTCCCAGTTCTTGCAGGGGAAGGAAATGGAGTGAACAAGCCTGGTGGTCACAGCATCTCATTGTGGCTCTGATCACCTTGCAGCAGGTAAGAGATCAGGGCAAAAAGGGCTGTTGTTTTTCCTTGAATGATGTTTTTGTCACCCCAGCTTGTGGCTTTGCCTGCAGCACAGCTCCAGATCCTTCCAGGCCATCTCCCAGCATGCTCACTAAGCATTTCCAGCAGCATTTCCACAGGAAAGGGAAGGAGCAGGACAGGGAGGTGCAGAGGCAGCCCCAGCCCCGTTTTGTGGGTGATGGGAGGTGAGGCAGCAGCCAGGGCTGCTGTAAAGGGCCTGTTTGTCCCCAGTCCCAGCACTGAGCTAACCCTTGGGGTGAGCTGTAGCCTAGGGAAAAGCTACTGAGGGAGAAACCACTGTAGCCTCACCCATCCCTTGGCAGCTCCTCGGCCGAACCACATCAGTGGCAGCTCAAGGCTCTTCCTGGCCCTCACCCTAAACTTCAGCCTCACCCTAGACCTTGTTGGCTGAGCCTTCTCAGCACCAGCATTCCTGACTCAATGGAAAAAAACTATCAAAAGGAGCTTTCTGCAAGCTGCCCTGACTGAAAGGTCTGGGATGGTCTGAGAGCCCCGTGAAGGCTTTGGGATGCTCCAAAGCATCCAGAGATGAGAGGCACAGGGAGGGCTCTGGGGTACACTGAAAGGAAAGCAGTGCCTGCCAGGACACAGAACCAAACATGGCATTTGGGTGCAGGAAACACCAAGCCAAGGAGTTCTGAGGGCACAGAAGGAAGCATTGAGGCTGCTGGGGTCACTGGAGGCAGTCAGAGGTGCAGGGGACACCAAAAGGCCCAAGGAGCAAACTGAAAGGCACACAGAGGCTCCTGGGCTGCACCAAAAGGCAAATGGTGACTCCTGGGGTGGCCTGAAAGGCACCAAGAGGGATGTGATGTGTCCTGGGACACACAAAGGGACTCCCAGGCTGCACCTAAAGGCACAGTGAGGCATATGGGGCATCCTAAACCCACACTGAGGGGACTGGGCAGCACAGGAGGCAGGACAAGGGGAGCAGGATCACCTGAATGCCCCCAGGAAGGGAATATGCAGATGTGAGGGTGGCTTTGGGGAGCTACCCAAAACACCGAGAGCATTTGTGGTCAGTCTGTGCCCTTCAGGGAGCTGAGCTGGAGGCTGCTCCCCCCTGGCACCATCTTGGGGGACTCTGAGAAAACCTAAAGCAATTCCAGGAACAGAACTTCCTCTCGCTGCTCCACAGGGGTGAGTTTGCAGCAGGTGGGTGCAGGCCACTGGAGAGGAGCGTGGGTGGAGGCCAGGCTGAGCCTGGCTGAGCCCCTCAGTGCACCCTGCAGACGTGGGGTCTCCTCCAGCAGTGGGATTCCCGGCGCAGGCTGTGGTAGAACACCACGAGCGAGCCCAGCACGGTGCAGAAGAAGATGCTGGCGATGAAGGAGAAGGGCCCAATGATGAAGAAGGCGATGTAGTGCTGGGGGGACAGCGAGCTCTCCTGGCACTGCCTGAAGGACTCCTCCCCAAAGGCCATGATCGGGTACTTGTTCAGCTGCTCCGGAACTCTGCAGAGAAGCAAACTCTTCTCTGGAAGAGAAAAGCGGTGCTGGAGGGAACACTGGGCAAGGCAGGGGCCAAGGACAGGGGGGTGGCAGGATGCACGGGATGGAGGGCACCAGGGCAGGAGGACAGGGGCCAGGGTCACCAACATCACCCATGCCCAGCTACAAAGGGGGAATGGTGAGGTTCAGGACTCACCTGTGTGGGATGGGATGGGATGGGATGGGATGGGATGGGATGGGAT